TCAGTCACTGCCTTGTCTTCCATTTTTCAGACATTCAGTAGGGACAATGGGTAGTGGCTCCATTGTGTATAGTGCAATCCCAAACCCTTTGTCTGCAGGTAAGGAGAATTTCTGTCTTAGATTTAGTGTTCTTCTTGACACCTAGCACCTAGTCTCCTACTTCCTGTTGTATAGGGTACGGGGGGGGGGTGGCTTAAGAGTAAAGCCTGCTAGGAATTGGAGGAGGCTGGGTGCATGCTGGAACCCTAGTAGGTCCCAGATAAATGTGTCAACAACTGTCTTGTTCCCAATTCCAGTGACATCCTGTGTGTTTCACACTTGTCATTGTACCTTAGAGTTTTTTTCTGGCTTCACAGAAACTGACATACTACTGTTTTGATTATCACTTTGTCTTGAGTGTCTGTGTCTTTACCCAATTTATTAATTAGCTACTGAGATGAAAATAATGACTTTGCCAGCCACTGGATAAAACAGCTACAGCTCAGCTTTGCCTGCCTATGGTTATTTAACCCTCACTTCTAGCTATTAAAATTCATATTTAGTCTCTTGTGCTTGGCTGTGGCTTCACCATTGACACTTCTTCCACTGTCCCCCTACCCTAGTCTTAGTGTCTGAGAGGTTGAGACAACTTCAATAGGATTCTGGAATCACCTTGGTGCAGTCAGCTTCTTGGGCTGGTAGAGGAGATCTGGCTGCTGCTTCTTAGACTACCTTCTTTGGGAACTCCCTGTTCTAACAAACTAGCTCATTCTCTGCAAATTTCTGTGTTTTGGGGGTGCTAAGCATGGACATAGTAACAGTCCCTGCTCTCATTGCTCACTTAATGGAAAACCTTGGAATCATCTGATAGGTGGGGACAGATTTCCTGCAGGCCAAGAATGTGGCTATGCTGGGCTCTTGCCTCCACCTTATTTAACACTCACATCATTTTATTTCCAAACACTGATGGACCTGGGGAGCAGCCTGTGGCATAGGGATGGAGGTGGAGTCGGGCCACATGCCATAAAAAAAAAAACAGGTTCAAGTCACTGACAAGCCTTAAGAACAAGGCTAGTGTGAGGCATTTCTGCCTTCAGGGGGTAGTGCTTGTAGATGTATTTGGGGCCTCAGGTACAGGGCAGTACAGTGCCTGAAGGATAGCTGGAGAAAGGGCTAGGAGTTGTGCACAGGTACGACAAGCCTCTTCCTGGATCGTAGACAAGGCAGCTACTGGAAAGAGGCCTTTCTTCACCTGGGACTTCTGTCATTGAATACAGTTGAGGTCTTGGGAAATATGGCAGGAATGAGGCCTGGAGGCTGCTCAGTCCCAGCCTGCAGAAGAGCTTTTTCCCCAGTCTGAGAACTTTAGAAAGAGGTTGTGCCTCCTCTGTGGAAGGGGGATTTATTTGAGTGAGCATCTGGGAAGAAGTGAGTAGTGAGGAACTAAGACAGGCTTGCATCAGTGCGTGCGTGCGTGCGTGCGTGCGTGTGTGTGTGTGTGTGTGTGTGTGTGTGTGTGTGTGTGCCACATTAGTGTGTGTTCATTAACACACAGGATTTGTGATCTGGGGTCTGAGATGGTCAGGGAGCTATGTGGGCAGTATGGTGAAAGAGTATGTGGGGGCTTCAGGTACTACACTATCTGCTCAATGTTCTGGATCTCTTGGCTCAGAGACTGCTTGGGGGTCAGCAGCTATCTGTCCCTAATGTTTCAAGGTTACTTTGCCTCTTTGAGACATCAATGTATCTTCCCACTGAGCAGCCATGATTTGCTGGGGATAGAGAACAAAGGAGTCCAGCATTTATGGGAATAGTTTTCTCTAAAGTGCTTCTCTGTAGTGGACACTCTCCTCCTGTAGATTATTCCCCACCTTTCCCTCCCTAAGGGCATAGTGGATGCTCTTTCTCCTCTGGTGTCTCCAGTCTCCACTTTCCACTGCCCCTTCTTTTGTGTGTGTGTGTGTGTGTGTGTGTGTGTGTGTGTGTGTGTGTGTGTGTGTGTGTACACAGGCATGTGGAGGCCAAGGTCAACCTGAGGAACTGTCCATCTTGGGGTTTTTGTTTTTGCTTTTTAGACAAGACCTCTTACTGGAACCTGGGACTCACTTATTAGGGTAGCTGGCTAGCCAAGGAGCCCCAGGGACCTACCTGCCTCTGCTTCCTGCATGTGTACCATGCCTGACATTTCATTTAGGTTCTGGGGATTTAATTCTGGTCCTCATGCTTGTATGGCAAGCACTTTATTGACTGAAATGTCCCCTCAGCCTCATGTTGCCCCTTCTTTTCTGGGATCTCCTACTTCTGCCCTGAGATAATCTTTGTTGACCTTGTGGTATAAAAAGGTATAAGATTGTTGTCTCCTTATCTTCAGCATGTGTGACTGTGTGTATTAGTCATATTTCAGTCTCTGTGACAAAACCCCTGAGGAAAACAACTCGGAGGAGAGGACTTAATTTGCCTCATAGTTTCAGAGGCTTCGTTTCTGGGTCAGCTGGCTCCATTACTTCTGGGCTTGTGGTAAGATGAGCAGAAAGCCTTGAGAACAGCAAGAAGGGTCCAGGATTACATAATACCCTTCAAGAGTACTTCCTTTGACCTACTTATAATCAGGCCTTGCCTCCCAATGAATAGCCCATTCAGTTGTGAACTCAACAGTGGGTTAACCCACGATGAAATCAATCACCTTTCATTAATGCCACCAGCTGGAGACCAAGCCTTTGGCACATGAGCCTCTTGTGGGATTTCATATTAAACTCTGACTGTATTGTTAACCATGCTTTTTCATTCCCCCTGCCCCTGCCTCTTTGCAAACACACATGGTGGCCCCTCTACTTGCCAGAAAACACGGTGAACATCTACTGCTTGCTAGATAGACTTCAGGAGTGTAGGGGTGACTTCCCTGCCTCCTGCTAGGGATAAAAAGCAGAGAAGAGGGAATAGAGTCTATGTTAAAGGTACAGCCCAAAGTAATGAGTGCTATGGAAGCAGTACTAGGGCCTTGAACTACTGTGAAGGTCTATTGCTGGGTGGAGACAGGCATTCTAAAGTCTCAAAAGAGTAAACTTGAATACAGCTGCTCCCTGTTCTCTATCCCCTGGGCAGTGTAGGTGGATAGTGACTCATGGGGTCACATAGCCTTGGAAAGGGGCTGCTGAATACTAGGCAAGAGTGGCACCATGGGCATGGGTTCTAAAAGCTGTCCGGACCCTGGGCAGGAGGATTACACTGGTACAACAGAGTTCTGGCTTGTGCCTGCCTGTTCCTGTGTGCTTACAGTGTCTGACTGGGCACTGGCTTTGGTCATGTGACTTTTGGTCACCCAATTCTGAAGGGCACTCTTGTGTGTTCAGAGCACCTGTGTATGGTGCCATTTTATATGTAGCATTGTTATTTAGGTTTTTCAAGGTGTTAACTATAAAAAATATTCAAGATGCTTTCCATAAATCTGTCAAGTTTTGGTTTGTTTGTAAGTTTAAGATCTTAGAGCAACACTAACAAAGCAGCTTTGAATTTTGATGCTCTTTAGTTTTGTCTTCCAGTGTGCAGTCTCAGGCAGCATAGCTTCAGGTGCACCGTTTCATCATCATCTTTCTTTTGTTGGAGTGAATAGCACTATTAATGCTCAGTCTCCCAAAGCACAAGTGCAAGAGCCAGGTGCCCAGATCTCTTCATGTATCCCATACCTGGTTGCTCTGTGAGGTCTCAAATTCCTTCCCTGGACCTGTAGCACTATCCTTCCCTACTGCTACCGCCAGTGCAAGACCTTCCCTTCCCTGTGTCTTGTTATTTACCACCTGTGCCAGCTTCCTTCCCCTGAAAGGGCAGCTGCCCTTCAGCCAGATGTAACCCTTCCAGTAACTCAGGTTCTGGGCGTCCCATGTCCTTAGCATCTGTGGCTGCCTGAGGCTTTACTTGTTTAAATTGCTAAGTCTTTCCTAGATGATGAATGGGTTGGAGCTCTAGAGTGCCCAAAGTTCATTTATTTATTCATTTTTACAAATATAACTAGGAATTAAATTGGACTGTGGAAGTAGATTCCATTATAACTGCAACAAAAACATGGAAAGAAAATAGTGAAACAAGTTCATTCTCATAGTCCCTCCCTTCCTCCCTCCTTTCCTTTTCTATTTCTCCCTCCCCCCTCTTTCCACTCTCTTTTTTTGACAGTCTTGCTATAATGTAGCCCAAGATGGCCTCAGACTTATTACAAAGCCTAGGCTGGTCTTAAACTTGTAAGAATCCTCTTGCTTCAGAATCTAGAATTCTGGGATTATATGTGTCCTGTACCATATCTGGTCATTTGCTTCTTTTTGAAGTTTTTGTCACTTTGTTTTGATATATTTTTAAACTTACTGGAAAGCTGCAGCCATGTCTGCTTTTGGGGAGCCCTGGAGTCCATTTGTGCTAATGACTGCACCTGTACAGTGCATCTGAGAACCAGGCTGATTTATACTGCCAGTTAGGATATGTAGTTTTGGGAGCTTTTGTTTACATGTTGTTGGGAAAGATCTTGAGACCATCTAAGGAATGATGATGGGCTGTATAGATAATTTAAGCTAGAGATTAGCTACTAAAACAACTCTGGTCTGAAAGACTGGCTGTCCTTGAAATGTCAATTTGTAAATGAACTTGTGGATCACAAATGGGGTCTGTCTGTCACTCATTGGAAACTGAGACTAAGGTTACTCTCCTGGTCCAGACTCACAGCTAGTGAATGGCTGAGCCAGGCATTCAGTTCATTTTGGCCAGTTTCTGCTGATATACTTTATCATTGAACACATTTCTTATTCTAAATTTCAGAATTTGCACACATAATGGTTGATCAATAAAAGCTTGTGTCTGAGATCTGTATGTGTGTAGTTCTGTGTGTGTGTAAGCCAAGTGTGAGTTGTTAACGTGTGCTCAAGGCCCATAGTCCCTCTCAAAACAAAGTTTGATTTGTTCATGTCAGCTTGTCTTGGCTGTCGGAGTGTCTCTATAATACCCAGAAATGACCTAGCCCTTTTCTTTTCTTTCTATAGGAATTTGCTTGCTAGAAAACAAAATGCAAGACTTGATAGACAGAGAGACTTGGGATGGAAGCTATTTGGAAAAGTCCCACTTCGAGAGACTGCTCAGAAAGAGTCAAAGAAAACACAAAAGGTAAGCCACTATCTGTGAGGGTGTACTCATGAACCACACTGATGACCCTTGCTGAGGTTTGAAGTTGGAAAGCTCTCTGTATTTGTTACGAGCCTTGGTTCTTTTTTTTTTTTTTTCCGAGACAGGGTTTCTCTGTATTGTTTTGGAGGCTGTCCTGGAACTCGCTCTGTAGACCAGGCTGGCCTCGAACTCAAAGAGATCCACCTGCCTCTGTCTCCCGAGTGCTGGGATTAAAGGCGTGCACCACCAGCGCCTGGTGTGCCTTGGTTCTTAAACTTAAATTGTACTCAGTGTGTGCAGGGATTTAACTCTCTTCACTTCTTTACAGCTTTTAACATACAAACAGGGAAGTTCAGCTGGGCTTTAGATATTTAAACTTGATGAATTTTAGTCAGTCTTTCTAGTAACAGTTGCAGATGTGTTTATTTTTTATTATATATACATATAATATTGTATGTACACACACACACACATATATATAATTATATATTCATTATTTTGTCTGCATGTATCCCTAAAGGCCAGAAGAGGGTACCAGATCTCATTACAGGTGGTTGTGAGCCATAATGTGGTTGTTGGGAATTGAACTCAGGACCTCTGGAAGAGCAGCCAGTGCTCTTAACCTCTGGACCATCTCTCCAGCCCTGCAAATGTGTTTCTAATCAAGATTTTATTGTATTTGATACTGAAGTCTCCTCACATTTCTTAGAGCTTAGATCCTTCATTTTGAGTCAGGTGAAGGTGGCACATGCCTTTAATCCCAGCACTCGGGAGGCAGCAGGCAGATCTCTTTAAGTTCAAGGCTAGCCTGGTCTAAAGAGAGAGTGCCAGGATAGGCTCCAAAGCTACAGAGAAGCCCTGTTTCTAAAACCAAAACAAAAAATCCTTCGTTTTACTCTGGGATATGTGGATTTGGCCATCATGTTCCCAGGCTTTGGGACGACCCTGCCCCGTGCTTACTTATTTATTGTCTTTGAGGGTTGGGATTCAAGTATTCTAGGTCAGGCCTGCACCAACATCCCACTGACTTCCTTGCTCCTCAAGTCTGAAGCCAGGAGTACCTGCTTATCTTCTCAGGGAGAAGCCCATGCCAAATGGTGGCAGCCCCTAGGCAGCCCCGACTATTAGTACCAACAACTTCTTTGGGGCTCTGAACCTGTATACCTTGAAGGTCAGATGTTGCTCAAGTACTGTGGCTCTGAAAATTGTTGCCTTGAGGGTCTGCTGTTGGCCAAGTGGTTGTCCTCAGTAGACTTCTTCCCACCTTAGATTTAAATTCACTGATAGTTGTTCTTTGGATCCTCCTGAGAACCAACTAAAGCTGGTCCTTATGACTAACATTGGGCCTTGAGGAAGGACATGGCCCAGTTCAGGCAGGCAAGATCCACCTAAGGCAGGGCATGGAAAGTAGGCAGGTCTTTCTCCCTGAGGTGGCACAGCTGATAGGGGACCGTTTGCTCAGGGGTTACTATGTGCTAGTTTTAGACAGTACCATTTGTGCTTCTAGTTTTTTATTTAAAACAATGACCCATGATGTTCCTTGAGTCTCAGGTATAAGTGTTGTGTTATAGATGCATCAACTGGGACTAGGCATCCTACTGTCAGTTGTTCTCTTCATTTTTATCAGTTGTGACATTCTGTAATAGTATCCATCTACTGCAAAAAAGATTCTTTGACTATGGGTAAGAGCTATACTTATGTGCAGATAATAAAGATAGGTATCTAGGGGGAGCTGAAGACACCACCAGAGTCTAGAGATTCTATACCAGCAAGACCTAAACACCCTAATGCAGATGAAGCAGAAGGGAATGACCTTAAAAACAAATTAGTGAAAATGATAGAGGCCCTCAAAAAGGATATGAGAAAATCCCTTAAGGAAATAGAAGAAAAAACAAAACAAAAAATACAAGAAATGGAGGAAAAAACAAACCAACAAATGCAAGAAAGGGAGGGAAAGACAAAGCAAAAATTACAAGAAACAATTAAAACAGTGCAAGGGTTGAAAGCTGAAATAGAGACAGTAAAAAAAAACACAGTCTGAAGGAATGCTGGAAATAGAAAAGCTGGGGAAATGGTCAGGTACTACAAATGCAAGCATAACCAACAGAATACAAGAGATGGAAGAGAGAATCTCAGGTGTTGAAGACACACTAGGAGAAATAGATTCATCGACTAAAGAAAATCTTTTTTTTTCCTGGTTTTACGAGACAGAGTTTCTCTGTATTGTTTGGGAGGCTGTCGGACCAGCTCGGCCTTGAACTCACAGAGATCCGCCTGCCTCTGCCTCCCGAGTGCTGGGATTAAAGGCGTGTGCCACCACCGCCTGGCTGACTAAAGAAAATCTTAAGTTCAACAAATACATAACACAAAATATCCAGGAAATATGGGACACCATGAGAAGACCAAACCTAAGAATAATAGGTATAGAAGAAGGTGAAGAAACCCACCTCAAAGGTGCAGAAAACATATTCAATAATCCCACTTTACCAACAGCCAAAAGAGAAAAGGGGTGGAAATCCACATACAATTCTACCACCAACAACCATTCCAAAACAAGAATGAGCAATCAATGGTCATTAATATCCCTCAATATTAATGGTCTTAACTCGCCCATAAAAAGACACAGGCTAAGAAACTCAATTCACACATAAAACCTCACACACTTGTAGTGGGAAACCTCCACACCCCACTCTCACCACTAGACAGGACTACCAGACAGAAACTTAACAAAGAAACAAAGGAACTAATTAATAGAAGTTATGACCCAGTTGGGTTTAACAGACATCTATGAAACATTCCATCCAAATACAAAAGAATATACCTTCTTCTCAGTGCCACATGGAACCTTCTCAAAAATCAACCACACACTTGGCAACATAGCAAACCTCAACAGGTATAAAAAGTTGGGATAACTACATGTATCTTATCATACCACCATGCTTTAACGTTAGAATTCAGCAACAACACAAATTGCAGAAACCCTATAAACTCATGGAAATTGAACAATGTGCAATTGCACCACTCCTGGGTCAAAGAAGAAATAAAAAAGAAATTAAAGACTTCCTAGAATTCAATGAGAATGAAGACACAACATACCCAAACTTGTGGGACACTTTGAAAACAATGCTAAGAGGAAAGTTCATAACACTAAGTGCCCACATGAAAAAACTAGAGAATAGTCACACTAGAGAATTAACAGCACAACTGAAAGCTCTAGAACAAAAAGAAGCAAACTCACCCCAGAGGAGTAGAAGCCAGGAAATAATCAAGTTGAGGACTGAACTCAGTAAAGTAGAAACTAGAAAAACAATATAAAGAATCAATGTTATGAAGAGTTGGTTCTTGGAGAAAACCACTAGAAAACCACAAGCTAGACAAACCTTTATCCAAACTTATGAAACAGCAGAGTGTGAACATGTAAATCAACAAAATCAGAAGTGAAAAGGGGGACATAACAACGGACACTGAGAAAATCCAGAGAATCATCAGGTCATACTTTGAAAACCTGTACTCCATAAAATTTGAAAATTTAAAGGAAATGTACAATTTTCTGAATAGCTATCACTTGCCAAGATTAAATCAAGCACAGATAAGCAATTTAAATACATCTGTTACTCCTAAAGAAATAGAAACAGTCATCAAAAGTTTCCCAACCAAAAAAAGCCTGGGTTCAGATGGCCTCAGTGCAGAATTCTACCAGAAATTCAAAGATCAGCTTATACCAATTCTCTTCAAAGTATCCCATGCAATAGAAGCAGAAGAGTCTTTGCCAAACTCTTTTTACGAGGCCTCAATAACCTTGATACCCAAGCCACACAAAGACACAACTAAGAAAGAGAGCTTCAGACCAATATCCCTCATGAACATTGATGCAAAACTAATCAATAAAATACTGGCAAATTGGATCCAAGAACACATCAGAAAAATCATCCACCATGATCAAGTAGGTTTCATACCAGAGATGGAGGGATGGTTCAACATATGAAAATGCATCAATGTAATCCACCATATAAACAAGGTGAGAAACAAAAATTGCATGATCATCTCACTAGATGCTGAAAAAGCCTTTGACAAAATCCAACACCCATTCATGATAAAGGTCTTGTAGAAAGCAGAGCTAACAGGAACATACCTAAACATAATAAAAGCTATATACAGCACACCAACAGCCAACATCAAACTAAATGGACAGAAACTCAAAGCAATTCCTCTAAAATCAGGAACAAGACAAGGCTGTCCACTCTCCATACCTCTTCAATACTGTACTTGAAGTTCTAGCTAGAGCAGTAGGACAACAAAATGAGATCAAGGGGATACAAGTTGGAAAGGAAGAGGTTAAACTTTCACTATTTGCAGATGATATGATAGTTTATATAAGTGACCCGAAAAAACTCCATCAGGGAACCCCTGCAGCTGATAAATTCCTTCAGCAAAGTGGCAGGATATAAGTTCAACTCAAGAAAATCAGTTGCCCTACTATATACAGACAATAAAAGGGCCGAGAAAGAAATCAGAGAAACATCACCCTTTACAATTGCCACAAACAACATAAAATACCTTGGGGTAATGCTAACCAAACAAGTGAAAGACTTGTATCGCAAGAACTTTGAGTCTTCAAAGAAATAAATTAAATAAGACACCAGAAAATGGAAAGATCTCCCATGCTCTTGGTTAGGTAGGATCAACCTCGTAAAAATGGCAATCTTATCAAAAGCAATCTACAGATTCAATGCAATCCCCATTAAAATCCCAGCACAATTCTTCACAGACCTTGGAAGAACAATTCTCAACTTTATATGGAAAAACAAAAGACCCAGGATAGCCAAAACAACCCTGTTCAACAAAGGAACGTCTAGAGGCATCACCATTTCTGACTTCAAGCTCTATTATAGAACTATAGTCCTGAAAACAGCTTGGTATTGACACAAAAATAGACAGGTAAACAAATGGAATCGAATTGAAAACCCTGACATTAACCCACATACGCATGAACACTTGGT